TGTATCTTCATTTGCATTTAATGCTTGAATAAGTTGCTGAGTGTTCGTATTTATGATTTCTTCAAAATGTTTCTCCTGCGTCAATTTCTTTTTTGGCGGCGATTTTATTATTAATTTTGGCATTTCAATTGATTTTCGATGTACTAGAGGCATCCGATGAGTTTTGCGTTAAATCAAAATCTCTGGAAACACAATCTTCTAAGTATTCAATGTTAAATCTTTGTTGTCCCATTCTAAGGAACTATTAACACTATATTTTAAGAAAGATATGTACATATATGTGGTACAAACCGAACGTATGAAAATTTCGAATGTAGAAAAGTTTAAATACCTTCTTGACTTAAAAGCATCGCTTAAAAACTCTAAATTGCTTTTTAAAAATCCAGTTCGATGGTTTTGTTTGAGAAGATGCACTTCGTTCTTGTAATTTATCTTTATTTGTTTCTCGTCTACATTTCTCCCGTAGTTTCCTAAAATATTTGTATGCTTCGTCCCCTAAATAAATACGTATATAAAATATGAGTTTATTTATGAAAAAATATGTATGTATGTCTAATCTCACCAGAAAGATTAAATTTGGACCCGATTTCGCTCCACAATTTTGATCGTTCTTTAACATTTTTGTATCCATTGGATTTAATATTCCAAAGGATATCTTCTCCTTGCACAATTTCTAAAAATTTAAACGTGTCTTCTGCGTTCATTTTCGATATTATTGAAATATATTTGAAAAAATTTGTCAGTTTATAATTAAAATTTGTCATGTTAATTATAACATTTTTATGTTAACTCTAGAGTGAAAATAATCTACACTCTGGAGTAGAAATTGTTTGACTCTAGAGTGGATTAGAACAAGACAGACAAATTTGAAATTCTATTAGTATGAAAAAGAAAGAAATACAATTTGCTGGAGTGTGGAGTACTCTGCCATTGTGAACGTAGCTTTAAGTACAACAAACTTTTGGATTTTCCAATTCTCCAAAATGGTTACTTAAAATTATTGAAATTAATTCCTTCGAGATTTATGGTAATATTCATTGGCTATTGTGATTTTAAACTATTGGTCTATTGCTATGTGTTTTGATGTCGCTACACACTATTCTTACTATTTAAGGATATTGCTTTCCGTTTGGGCGCCATATTGTTACGAGTCCCCAAAAGCACCATAACGAATTAGGTGCCGACCAGCTCACGTACATGATTCTTACTCTCGGTGTGAGAACCTCCCTTCGTCATGGCCCAAAGAACTGTCACAATAAATGTTCTATGAATCTGTTCACTAATATCAAATGAAACACCTATGAAGTGGAGTTAGATGTTCACTCCATTCTGCCCTATCCCTTCCATAATCTCCCATACCTATAACATTTACGGGGATCCCTTCAAAATCCTTTACCACACCACTTACCTTTAATAAACCACTCTGTTAAATGAGATTATTCCAGCATTTTTCTCTTTTTTCTAATTCACTTAATTCATAACATATTTATTATAACTATTGCTTAGGATATAAAACCTGAACAAATTATACAAAACTCTATAAAAAAAAACAAATTTAGCTTTTATATCTATTACAAAAATAAATGGCAACTCTGATTCCTCAATAATATTTCCCTGCCTCAACAAATACCAAACTAAAACGGACACAAAATTACAAGTTATAAAACAAATAAATTCCCTTTATATGTATATTGGTTTCCTCATCTAATTATGCCCCAACAATTGGTTTGGGAATTCACTCATTTATACAACACTACTATCAGCCTAAGAGAGCTCACTTAAACGATTTTTTTTTCTGGCTACTTTAAGCCTGGCTCAAAATTTCACTACTCGGTTCGATGAGAAAACTATCAGGGAGATGTTTAACAAATGTTATGTACGAAACGTAAGGTATTTATCGAAGATCAAGGATGCCTAATAAATAGTATTAACACAAAAAAAAAAAAACAAAATAAAAAAAATATAACTAAAACTAACAAACTTAAACTAGAGATGTTAAATAAGACTTATATATTAGGGATATCAAACTAATTAGAGATAAAAGACTATTCTGTTGTTTTTCTTAACAGTAAGCACTTCCCTGTTCCGAATGGTTTTTCCGTTGATGATGTAATAATTTATTCAAATATAATTTGTTGGGCAGTTGTTGAGCTTTGTGCCTTCTCCCAAAAAAAATTTTGTAGTCCCCGTATTTTGTTCTGGCCCTGCTCCAGTTCTGGGGGACTAAGAAGTTTAATTGCCTTATGTTGATTAAGTATTGCAGGGATTTCCTTAGTTTCCTATCACAGAATCGAAACTGCTATAAGTAATAAACTTAATCAGCACACTAATATTAATTAGGCTAAGACACTCTATATTACCTTATATTCTTCGATAAGTTTATTTCAAATAGATAACTTTAAATCTTCGTTCTTATATTTTTTTTGTATTTTTGTTCAATTTAAATTGCACTTTCTTGTTTATATTATTTTGTTTAAATTTGAAAAAATATATATGTATACCGTCTGGGCTGCTTATTTTCTTCTATCTCTTTAAGATGGCCGAGCAGAAACTTATATTTATACTCTATATGTTCCAAGAATTTCTATTCCAATTGGGCCTATTATATTCATGCTCCTTTAAATCCTATAGTCATCACATTCTGACATTTCATAACACAACCATCCTTTTCTAATTCTTCCTCAATTTGTATCTAAACATTGAATAGCTTTATTTGAACTTAACGAACTATCAACATTCATATTCATTCATAAAATCCTACGTACACATTTCTCTCACACTGTGTCTGACCACTCTCATAATCTCACATCTGGCAACCCTTTTTACTACAGATGTTCGAGGCGAATTCAATACATGTGAGAACTTGACACAAATTGCATTAATTAATTAAAACAAAGAAGCAGACAACATGTAAACTGAGGTAAGTATTTATTGAAATTATTGTAATTTTTAGATATTAAGTTTTTTTTTTCGTTTCAGGAATACTGGTAAAACTGTATCGTTTCATTATCACAAGATTTCTAATACTAATTTGTTTCTTTTCTTCTTTCTTTCAGCTATTTGAGTTTGGGAAAGGTTGTGGCTTAACTCCACCACATGACTCTAGGCCCTTCCCAGGTTGGTGTTTCCACTGCGAGCTGACCACTCGCATACTCTTCTGGTGGAACCCTAATCAAATAGGCCAATGAGCCAAATTACATCTCTGTAGTTAGAAACTAATAAACTAACTTAAACAAAATAAAAACTACTAACCTTAGTTTACTAACAAAGCAACATGAAATTATTAGGGTACGCCCACGAGCAAGGCAGTCAGGACTGCTGGGCAGCAGATATTGTACCCCCTCAAAAAGGCACATTGTAGGTACCCCCACGCAAAATTTTTTTTTCAAATCCCCATAGGAGTAGTGTCAAGGGGGTATAATTAAGGAGCACTGCAACAAGAAAAATTAATTTTAGTGCAAAAATGGCGGTTCTGCAGCTAAGTAAATCCAAATTGGATTTATTAAATCCAATTGGATTGGATTGCTATTAGTAGCATTTTTTAAACAATTGGATTTATTAAATCCAAATTTTAGTTCTCCCTTTTGCCTTATCCAGGTGGATAAGGCAAAAGGTTTTAATCGAGGCTAAACAAATTTCAAATCATAATATCAGCAGCAGCCAACAGATGGAGTTATTTCAAAATTAATATTAAAATTATAAATTTTCCATAAAATTTGTAACAATTTGTGGCAAAAATTAGTATTTGCACTGAAATATCATGTGTGAAATATTTTGGTTACATGAATTTTGTTTATTTTCCTATTTTTATACATTTAAAAAATATTTGCCATCAATTGGTGAATAGCAAAATAAAACAAATTAATTTATTTTAAAATTATTTTGGTTTTGTTCTATGAATAAAAGGCATTGCCATATTGAAATTAGCTAAATCCAACTATTTTTTTTTTGGTTTTAATAAATCCAAATTAGATTTACTTCTTTTAGCTGCAGAACCGCCATTTTTACACTAAAATTAATTTTTCTTTGACCTTATATTAGCTTATACAGTGTATTTTCAGATAATAATGACCAAAACTGAATTTCAGCCAAAAGATAGTTTTTTTCTTGAAATAAAATAAATAAAAAAATCCAGTGATTTAAAAAAGCCCATAATAACAATCCTTCAAAAATATATGCTAGTCGAAACTCATTTAATTAAATATTTTTCAATGTTAAGTATGTGGGTCTTGTGCAACTTATGTGTTAAAAGCAATCAATTAAAAATTTTAAAGAGCTTGTACTTAAAATTTGCCACAGAAAAATCAAAGGTTCTCAAACTAATGGGAAGAGCATGGTAAAGCCTACATGATCTAACTAAAAAATATCTTTCAAACGTAGAGTTGTTGATTTTAGGTATAATTAGATTAGGATTACGAATAGACCATGAAAATATAAATAACAGTGAAATTTAATTATATGATAAAGTGAGTTTAAAGTTCTTATTTTAATATAATCCAGAAAGGAACATTTCAAAAACTTTTTGATATAGTCAGAGGTATGATCAGATATCTTCAGGCTAAATATATATCTTATTATTCGATTTAAAATCAATTTAACTCGACGTAAATTTGATGAAGTACAACCGCTGTAAATGTCCAAACAGTAAATGAAATGTGTCATAAGTAGAGAATGAGCCAAATTACATTTTGTTCTCACCGGCAAAAAGCAATTATATAGGGAACGTAGCACAGATAACCAGATAAGAAACCATTGACAGCTGTCAAAAAAGTAAATTCGAACCGTATGGTTTTGTTTAGATTTTTTTTACCATTTTTGAGTTTCGCCATTAGGTAAAATTTTAGAGCAAAAGAAAAAATAAAATGTATTAAAAAATCGATGAGTGTGTGAGATGAGCTGTATGATTGTTTTCATCGCTCGTTTGAAAAAAAATAGCAAAAAATGTAAACATCGAAGAAATTGTATGTGAAGAAGAATTGCAAAAAAATAAGGTATTAAAAAGAAAACAATTATTTTATTAAATATTTGCTTAGATTCTAATTAAAAGTGTACTGGATTTGTTTTTTAATTATTCCTTAATGTTCTTTCATTATAAAACACTTTTCAATACACTATCAACACCACAAACAAATTTTTTGACTTGCATGTACAGTAAAACCCGTTTATTTGATTTCAACGCATATTTTTTGAAGTTCGATATAAAAAAGGATAAATGCATAAAATATTATTCATGGGACTAAATAGTAATTCGTTTTAACCAAGAATTCTTTATAAAATATGTTTTTGTATCAAAATAGTTATCAAAATTCCGGTAATTAAGATGAGTTTGTAAAGAGCAAAAGAAGTTATAAATGGGTTTGACTGTAATGCAATTTGTTTTTTATATTTGAAAAAAATTAAGTGTAAGGTGAAGAGAGATGGAAATATATATTTATATATTTGTCCCTCTTTTAAATCTACCGTGGTTCATTTTACATTTTCTTTTGTTGATTTTTCGTAAAATTTTTTTTGTTTGCCTCCGCCATATTACTAAAATCAGCTGATTCCAGTCTATGAGTAGTCTATGGAACGTAGCATGTTGTTAACTTTAGCAGAAACAGAAGTTATATGGTTGTCAAAATGTAAGATGACTATCAATTATTAAGCCCAGGCATTTCATCGTGTCCACAAAAGGTACACAGATGCCATTAAAATAAATTCTAAGTGGCACATGGTTACAAATACGTGGTCCAAAATATATCGCTTTAATCTTACTCGAGTTAAATTCAAGTTTATTGCGTGTACCCCAATCTGTAATGAGGGACAACACATAATTAATGCTGGTCTCATGGCAATCTAGAAACTGAGTGTCATTGGCAAACAATAAATTAATATCATCTGCAAATAAGAATGACTGGAACCAACAAAACTGATAAAATCATTCATGTACATAAGAAAAAATGAGGGGCCAAGAATTGAGCCACGCGTTACACCACTTGAACATAAGGCTAATGAAGATTTATTATGCTCTACACCAACAAACTGAATACGATCATTTAAATAGGAATAGAGTAATTTACACGAATGTGAAGAAAATTTAAACTCGGAAGACAATTTATTAATTAGGATAACATGACTTACAGTATCAAACGCTTTGCTTAGATCGAGAGATATTAATGTAGAGACTATGTTATTATTAGAGATCTGACGTACAGTGTCTCTCATAAGTATTCGAATTTAGGTAAACTATGAAAAAAACCAAATTTAATAATATATTTTGTGTTTAAAATAAATAAATAAATTTGTTATATTGTCTAGATAGTCCTTAGTTTTGATATCACGCCCCTTAAAACTTGAAAACTTTACATTTACTTAAATTAGTTGTGCTTTTTTAAAAAAAAGTCCATGAAACTACTTCACAAAAGTATACGAATTTTTCCTGTATTTCATATTTGATCATATTATACGATACACAAATTCTAGAATCGCATGGTTTTATGCTTAATATTGTTTTAAGGGGTAACTATCAACCGCATGGATATATTTTTGACCCATTTGGTCCACAATTTTGGGGGATTTGTACCCTCTTTTCATGTAATATCATTAAAATGGCGATTTTTGGCTATATTTGTAATGTTTTCACCCTTTTTCCAGAGATAAAACTAAAATTTAATATTGGAATTTAATAGAACCCATAGGGTATCTAAAAATAATATTTTTTGTTATAAGGATCTGTACTTAAACGTTCCAAGATGTATTTTTGGTATCGTTTTTCAGTTTCTAATTGAATTATCTGGATCATAAGTCCCTTTTCGTACCTCTAGGGACGATATTTTCCGACAAAGTTGTCTAGTGTATATTCATGTACATATTGGCACTAATATATTTTAAATTTTCAATATATTATAGCGGTATACAACCCCAAAACATGCCTTAATAAAACGTCATTCTATATAGTAGATTTCAGTTTTTACTACTCGTAACTTTCACGCTTATGTTGCCCGTTACAATAACACTGTAAGTCCAAAATTTTGGTTTTAATTTGATCATAGTAAATAATATTTAAACATATATCAATATTTTTGAGTTAGATCATAATGATATCGTGCCATGCAGCATGGAGGCCATTGGTATCTAAAAATAATGATTTTACTATTTTGAATGGTGTTTCTTCGAGGCATGTTTTGGAGTTGTACACTTCCACAACACATTGAAAACTTAAAATGTATAAAAGCTGATATCTAAAAGAATATATACCAGAAAACTTCCCCGAAAATAGTTGATCCTAGTATTATAAAAATGGACTTAAGTTCCAATATATTGAATTAGCGACAGAAGAATGATCCGAATAATTTATCGTGGAACGTTTTAATACAGATTCTTGTAACAAAAAATATTATTTTTATATACCCCAAGGGGTCTTATAAGTCCCAATATCAAATTTTTGTTTTATCTCTGGAAATAAGGAGAAAAATTTACAATTATGGCCAAAAATCGCCATTTTAATGATATTACTTGAAAAAAGGTACAAATTCCCCAAAATTGTGGACCAAATGGTCCAAAAATATATCCTTTCCGTGGATAGTAACCCCTTAAAACAATATTACGCATAAAAACCATTTGATTCTAAAATTTGTGTTGCGTATAATATGATCAAATATGAAATACAGGAAAAATTCGTATACTTTTGAGAGGCAATTTCATGGACTTTTTTTAAAAATCCATAATTAATTTAAGTCAATGCAAATTTTTCAAGTTTAAAAAAGCGTGATATCTAACATAACGACTATCTAGACAATATAACAAATTAATTTATTTATTTTGCACACAAAATATATTATTAAACTTGGTTTCTTTTTATAGTTTACCCAAATTCGAATAATTATGAGAGACACTGTATATTTTCTGTTAAGCTCAGTAATAACGAAGATGTGCTACTCCCAGAACGAAATCCAAAGTGACAGTTACTAAGCAAATATCTGGAGTTTAAATACTCTAGAATCTGTTCTTTTAAGACTAATAAAATGCTTATAGGTCGATAGTGTTCTAAGCAATTACTTGTACCCTTCTTTCTTATAGGTATTATCCTTGAAGTTTTCCAAATGCGAGGGTATTTGGACGTCGTTAAAATTGTATTTAAAATATGAAGTAGAAAACTTTCAATAAATGGGTATATTATTTTTATAAATTTTGCTGGAATGTTATCAGAACCTAAAGCATTTGACCTTATTTTAGAAACTGCAGACAAAAGTTCTTCAC